GTTTCTTTCCCTGGGGGGCAATTGCCCCATTAAAAAAGGCACTGGGCGAACGACGACCAACTTTATAATACGAACTCTCAAAGGACGTCAAATATGCTTTCGAACGTTTTTACGTGTTTCATGCTTATTAATTCGCTTCCCAAGAAACACGAAAGGTTAACTTATACTAGGACATTACCCGAAATTAAAGTTGAGTTAAAATGCTGAAATTGAAATTGTTAATATTTGTGGAAAATGGCAATTTGTTTTCATATAAATTTGATCAGCCATGTTTCTCGATTTTTTTATTCATTTTTCAAGAACACATAAATAATTCAGGAGGAAAACACAAAGAAAAATCATAGGCGTGTCGTGGTTTTATATGTGATAAAGAATCATGTTAATTCACATAAACTTTAGCTTTGATTTTCTCGGTTTAGACAAGGTTTATTTTAAGAATTACTTCGCCAATGAACTCGTATAAGATTGAACTCGTATAAGATTTGAAGCCATTTAAAGCACTTGTAGTCGTGTTTTATCACAGTGATAAGATACTCCTACGCGTGCTTTAAAAAGTACTTAAAGCGTGCGCCACATTCAAACGTTTGTATCTCACGTAATATTACATGAAATGTTTAGGGCTGTCTATCAATATCTAAGTTAGCCTTTCCTCAATACAATAAAACTATAGCTTTTATAGTTTTTACCTTACATGAGATCAAACGTAGAAAATAGATTTGCGCTTGCAAAACTCACTTCATTACTCACTTCTTTTTTACAAAATCAAACAGTTAAAGCGACATGTCAAGCAAGAGGTGATCCACACTACTCGACATTTGATGGAACACGTTATGACTTTATGGGAAGATGTGAATATGTTCTGGCTAAAGACAGTGTAAATAACAAATTTGAAATAAGACAAGTGAATGAAGCTTGTGAAAATGGAAAATTTTCTTGCACAAAATCACTAACAGTGATTTTCCCAACTGTAACTATCCAACTACTGCGGGGAAGTGTGGTGGTAGGTGGCGCAGAAGTTGATTTGCCTGTATCTTATGGAGGTAAATTATTTTAAATTAAACTTCATCACAGATGTTTGCTTTAAGATTTGATGTAACAATTATAAATTTCAACCTAGGTACATCTAGCCAATTCAACAGCATATCCTTTTATTTCTAAGAGCTTTTATTTTAAAAAGGAATTTAATGATAATGTGTCTCACTAATGGTCCTACCCTAGTCACAACAGAATAATATATTATCACAGTTGTTTCTCTTATTTGTGCTAATCCACATGATTACACAAGAAACTAAGTATATTCATGTATTCTGCTGTTAAATAGTTGGGAGTTTCGACATAGAATATATTAACATATTCAAAAAAGCTCTCTTTTCCATGCTGCTGTAAAATGTTTTTACATTTGTTCAGTTTCCGCCTGATAGTTAATCTTATTCCTTTTCTGTTTATAAAGGTGTCGATATTACGCGCTCGGGAGTTCGAGTAACATTAGTAGATAGCGATTACGGTGTAAAAGTTGAGTGGAATAATGTACATAATGTGAGGGTGACAGTATATGGACGCTATATAGACAAAACATCAGGTTTATGTGGCACTTTTAATCGAAATCCTGAGGATGATTTCTTGACAGCATATGGAGCAACTGTAGGCAATGCAGTAGACTTTGGAAATTCGTGGAAAACTGATTCTTGCTGTGACAATGCAACAGATGTACCACATCCATGTGAAACTTACCCTGGCAAAAACGCGACTGCCACAGCCAACTGTTCAGCTTTGTTATCGCCCCCATTCAATGTTTGTGCAAGGCAGGTTGATCCAGTCCTACAGGGTTATGTTGATGATTGTGAATATGATGTATGTGGCTGTGGCGATGATCCCACAGTTTGTCTATGTCAAGCAATAGAGGCCTATGTCGCTGCTTGTGCTTCGTATGGTGTGAGCATTGACTGGTTGAGTGATGATCGATATCAACAATGCAGTACGTCACAGCTTTATGAGTATACCTTTGTAAATTAAATTAAATTAAATTATATTTAACAAATATAAAACATTTTCCGTGTTGATATACAGTTATATCAACACGATTGGAAATTGAGGAAACGAGAAATTATGTGGAAACAGTGTTTTCACACAATTTCGAGTTTTCCCAATTTGCACGAGTGTTGATATAACTGTATATCAATACGGAAAAATGTTTTATATTTGTTTTATAATATAGCACAAAGAAACATAAAGAATGAAATTTTCCGACGTCTCCGTGTTGACATTGAGTTATATCAACAATGCTCTTAGCCAATCGGCATTCAGAATTTACGAATGCTATATTATAATATACCATATAAAATAATGATAAGATTCATAGTTTGAATAGTTTGGACATGCAACAGTTTATACACCCTAATTAAAACAATCCACTCATAGGAAAGAACCAATGGACCATTTGCATTATAGACTAAATTTTGATCTAGACAAGTCTAGACAAAAATTTCATCACAGCTTGAAAGAGCATCACAAAATTAGTAATATTCCAACGTTTCGTTGCGAAATGTTGTAAAATGCGGATAATATAGCAGTTTGGGGTCTGCTATTATCTTTACCACTAAAATTATTTTGAAAAGTAAAGTTTCGAGTACAGGGTTTTCAAAAACCTCTTTTAAAATGGCTTGCGCACAAAAATGGAAGGCCTTTAAAACGCAATTTGAATTCATATAGGGTGCAAATGTAGAAGGTGTTTTATAAACTATCAAAATATTAGACAATTTTAGGTACATTAGGTCCAACGTACGAACGACCTTTAAACCTTGTATAATTTTTTAACTTTTTGTATAAAGAGTATATGTAAGAAATCACTCATCCATAAAATCAGTCATGCGAAAGGTTACTATGGGAGAAAGTCTTGTGCCAGTTTAGCTAATAATAGAGAGTTTGAGCAAGAGAACGAAGTCAGACGACGACGACGTGGTTGACAATTTTTGCCTGTCTTGCACATTATCTTGCGCATTCTGAGTGTAGGGTCAGGAGTGAAGACAGATTAGTGATTCATGTCTAGCTGTTTGTGAATGCTGACTCAAATCCTTACCCTGATCAGGATAAAACAGCGAGACATGAATCCATATCCCGTCTTCGTTCTTCTGCCTTCGTTCACAATGAATAGTTTGGCAAAATTGGTTGTGAACTTCGTTCTGCACGAAGGCAGAAGGACAAAGACGGGATATAGTTTCATGTCTCGCTGTTTTTTTCTGGATCAGGGCAAGAATTAGGGTCAGTATTCATAAACAGCGACACATGGGAGGACAGGTTGTGCAACCACCAGTGACGTCCAACTCAGTATGAGCAAGGTAATGCGCACACGGCAAAATTTGTCAAGTATGTCTTCGTCTTCGTACTCCGTTGTCTTGCTCAAACTCTCTAATAACAAAACTTCGACTGCTTTGGAGGCCGTGCATGCATGCATAAGACTTAATATACACCAAATTGCTTGGCACTTTTATAGTTCATAAAACGCCTAAATTTCCATCCTATGAATTAAACTTGCGTTTTAAACATTCAGTCTATTTTTGTGCAAGTCATTTTTATAATTAGTTTTTAAAAACAGCCCACCTGCATGCACTTGAAAATTTGCTTTTTAAAATAATTTGCCCAAACATTTCAGAGTCCCCTCTAGTTAACATGAATTTTAACAATTTTAATTCTCATCTATTTTAGATTCTTCATGTGCGAGTGCTCCATGCTGCAATGGTGGGACTTGTTCAAATAATGGATTATCATTCCTTTGCTCATGCCCGCCTGGATATGCCGGTGACCGCTGCGAAACGGAAGGTAAATAGTATTTTCGAACTAGATGTATTTTTCCCTTTTCCATTTCTATCCCACTCCCAGAAAGGATTTTTTTGAATTGTGTCTTGTGTCATATCACCAACAGTACAAGGACTTGCTAATTTTAAAATATACACGTACTGTAAATGGTCAATGCTCAGCAATACTCTAGAAAATAGATTTGTTTATGTCAGGTATATTTAAGAAATAGAAAACATTTTCCGTGTTTCTATAGAGTTATAGAAACACGCGTGGAAGTTTGGGAGAAACGAGAAATTGCGTGGGAACACGAGCACGAAGTGCGAGTGTTTCCACGCCATTTCGAGTATCTCCCAAACTTCCACAAGTTTTTCTATAAACTCTATAGGAACACGGAAAAAATGTTTTCTATTTCTTTCTTTATTAAATAGCCTTTTAAAAACAATAAAAAAGATAAATTTATCGATTTTAATTAGATTCATTCAAATATTAATTCTATCTTAATATACGTTCGTGTAAAGAATAATTAAAGCATAGCCAAGTAAACAAGTATATCGCTGTCAAAACAACAGACAACACTTTTTAACAGGCTTAAATCGCTTAATACTTTATTAATAAAGTATATAATTCATTCAACAACGTACATGCTTGCAAAGAAAGCACTGTTTTAAATAGTTAGTAACGTTTAAACATGATTAAAAACGTCGCGAGGAAATATTTTTTTAAAAAAGACAAAGTAAAATTAAAATATCTTACCTTGGTAAACAGTCAAACGGAGTACAAAGTATGCTGTACTATTCTTTGTTCTTTGTGCTTTAGGTCTTTGCTTTCAAAGTTAGCAAAGCGTTGCCTTTTTTGTGACGATTCTTCGGCGTTTTTGGACGTTTTCCAACTTTTTTTCAATATTAAATATTGTTTGTATTTTGTCTT